TAAACTAGCTTCAGTTTCTAGCATTTGCCATACAAGTGTTAGCCATAGATAGTAAAGACATGAATGTCTTGTATTGACCATCATACAACCAGCAAGAACTGCAAAACCACTCTAATCGATAATCATACTAACACCACAAACTTCAATTGACACATGAAATCGTCCCTTTCATAATAACCCTTTTCCTTGGGATGTCAAAGATCACTTAAATATACCAACATTTGTTTTCTATTTTGATTGAATTCATTGATACATTATTTATTTCACAGGTCAGAGTGGTGCTGGTAACAACTGGGCCAAAGGTCATTACACAGAAGGTGCAGAGTTGGTAGATTCTGTATTAGATGTTGTCCGCAAAGAAGCAGAGAGTTGTGATTGCCTACAGGTAATATGTAACTTCATTTCAGAGATACTGTTTGTTATTTATATCGTGCATAAATTTTAAAAATCATACTTGTAAGAATTTGTAAAAGTTGTGATGGCAAATAAAAAAAAAAAATTGTGGTTTTAGATTATTTTTAGCTCCGCTGTCGACTTTGTCGAGCGGAGCTAATCATATGAGTGATTGTCCGGCGTCGTCGTCCGTGTCAATGTTTTACTTTTTTGACTTCTTCTTGAAAACTACAAGCCTAAATGCTTTGATACTTGGTGTATATGTACCTTGGGTAGACCTCTCTCAGATTTGTTCATTTTGTAATGATATCTTTAGTTCTCTAATTTTGGTGAATATTTTTGTAATTTTTAGTAAAAAGTGATATTTTCGACTTCTTGTTAAAAACCGCAAGTTCAATTGCTTTGATATTACATATATAGGTACTACATGTGGACCTCTCTCAGATTTGTTCATTTTGTAATGATATCTTTAATTATCTAATTTTGATGAATATTTTTGTCATTTTTTGTAAAAAGTGATATTTTCTTCTTGTTAAAAACCACAATCATTTATGGTGAAAAATGATATTTTTGAATTCTTGTTGAAAATTTTCTTTTTCTAATAATATCTTCTGTTCTTTAATTGAAATGTGCATTGCTAACAGCGGAGCTATCTCAGCCGAGAGGCTGCTTGTTTGTTTTTTTAAATATATATTTGTTCCTGGTTATACCGTATTTGTCTTCAGTTAAGCGCCACCTTCAATTAGGCGCCAGTGCCACAAAAACTTTGTATTTTACACCTCAATTAAGCGCCAGACAAAGTTGAAATTTTGGCACGTAATGATCGTGAATTGGGCGCCGGCGGATCGACTACCGGTTACCGGTTCGTAGCGATGGACGCGATCGCGGAAGTCCCTCGCTGTTACTGTACGAATGGCTTTTATGTAAAAAAAATTGGTTTTGTTTCTAACAATTTTTAAGAAATCGGTCTATAATCTCTTGAAACATGTCTTTTTAGTCTACTGTAGAAAATATCAGCGTGGTTTTTAATTTCGCAGTAAGTCCATAAAAACGAAATTAAAACAACGCGAAAATGTTCTGTTACAAATGCGCTGTTGTCACAGTAAACAGTGTTAAATTATTCTTTAAATGCTCAGTTTACTTTCCAAAAATAACTAATTTCTTGATTTGAAAAAAAATCATGCCGTTTTTCCCACCAAAATCAAAGCCAAAATATCGCAATTATCGGCAAATCACTTCCGCATTGCGTTCATACATTATTTAAATGAGCTATGGTAATTTGATCACGTTGGCATCATCCAGCATTTTGATTGGTTAATTAACGACTTCCAGGTCAT